GGGGGTGATGAAAAAAGAAGAAAAATTTAGAAAAAATAACAAAAATAAGACAAGAGAAAAGAGAAGGAAGGGAAAGACAGAAAGGAAGATCGGAAGATCAAACTCATCAAAGTAAGGGTTTATAAAAAAAACAAAAAACGTATCATAACAAACAATAAACAATCATGTGATCTCGTGTTATGATACGGAATTTTTGTAAAATTATCTTCTAAAAATATTAAGTTTAAAAATTCCGTATACATTCCGTATGATTAATTTTTTCCGTATACATTTCGTATACATTAGTTTTTTTAAAAAATGTTCAAAAATGAATTGCTTATTAAATATACGGAATTTGTATACGGAATCTATAGAAACGTACATAAAATGTATACAAAACGTATCCTTTCCGTATACATATTTCTTATAGGGTTTGCTTGATTCCTTTATCATTTTCATCTGCTTTTTATAATAAATATCATCCTTTTAAACTAGTAGAATATTTGGTTATAAGTTATAACCAATATTAATTAGGATTATGATTTTGTCTAGCATTGATAATTCATAATTGGTTATGTTTTTCCTCAATTTACTCCCTATGAAAAAGAATGTCCAGAAATTGTGATAATCCTCCTATCGGGTCGGGTTTTGTCAGGTTTGGAGAATATATTCAACTCGGATAATATACTGTATGCTTAGTAATATATCAAAAATAATTTTTTCAATATAATTTTTTCAATAACACAAGGTAATTGACCTATAAGACAATGATAAATGATCGTCATATAGGTCGCACAACTTTTTAGTTATTAAAACTAGCGTTAAGTACGAATTTAAAGATATCATTCAAAAGGTTAAACAGAACATTTGTCACCTACACGTATTGTTCTGTTTCAATCGGTATCTTCTGTTCTAAAAGAAATAGGTCGATTAGTAATATTCGAAATGGAGAAAAAAAAATAATTATTAAACGGAATATTTATAATCTACCCGTATTGTTCCATTTCGATCAGTATCTTCTGTTCTGAAGTTCCAAGACCGAATCTAAATAGAAATGAAGCAAAAGACAGGGGAATTAGAAATGAAAAAAAAAATTAAAAAAATTACATTGTTTCTACCTTCCGTTCCGAAGCTCTAAAATAGCAATGAAGAAAAAAATGGGTCGATTAGTAATTTATGGAAAAATAAAATAAAATGAAAAAAAATATTCCATTTTGATCAGTTCCTTACTTAAAATAGATAAATGGGTTGGTTAGTAGTAATTCAAATAAGAAAATGTAATGTGCAGCATTACATTATGATCAAATGAATAATAATAATAATAAAAATACGTAAAAAAGATGTAATATTTTTTTTAATAAAAAGAATATCATTCAGATCTATCAATTTTAAGGATAGTTTGATTGTTTGATTTTCTAATTAGCGGAATCTGTGTAACATGTCATATTTAGATATTTAGATTACCCTCATTTCGAATTGTTTAACATGTGATGTATTTGACCGGTACATGTTGTTAATTTTGTTAAATTTTTTTGGTTAGATTTACCGAGAATTTTTTTTTGGTTAGATATTTTTTTTAGAGATTTTTTTTTTTAAATATTAGTTATTTGATAGGGGGGTTAGAATATCACCGAACTGCGAAGCAGTTCGGATGATATTTTAACCCCCCTATCAAATAACTGTGTTATTCTGCAGCCGCCAATGATCATCTTATAAATACAATAAACTATTGATTAATCAACGTCAAAAATATCAATAATAATTATGCAATGGTAGTTTATTTATAGCTTAATAAAAAAATATCAGCATGATGAAAAAAGCATGATCCTATTTGGCTGTAGAATAATTTGATTTATTTTACCAAAGATAATAATAAATGGACGTGTTAAGATAATATCTCTTTTTTGAGAATTTTTTTTTAACAATAATAAATTGCAGACATAATTGTTAATTTCTTTTTTATTGTAGGTTTTTTTAATATATAATAAAAAGCAGTAAGAAATTTTTTTAAATATTTTTTTTTTAAATAATATACTGTACAAATATATTGTTGAACGATGAACCACATGTATTGTATATATTATTGAGAATTTTTTTTTTATATTTCATAAATGATATATTAAGTATCAAAAATTTCCATCAATATAATATGTAATATTTTGTTAATACTAAATCCATATGGCTTAATTATTTGAAAGTGAAATATCTGAACAACGTAAAAAAAGATTAAATAATGAAAGTCAAGCCCGTCACAGAAAAAATCAAAAGCCAAGTGTAGAGAACAAAAACCAAGTATAGAGCAGGCATAAATTTTATAGATCATAATTGCATAAACGCCATATAATCATTAATCATATCAACGTATTAAATTCTCATATTACATATACCTATTAATGGTAAATATAATTTAAATTACCCTAATGCACTGTAATTTATATCATTTACATTATTGACATTATTGTAAATATAATTCATATAATTCTAATATTGTATTCTAAATATACTAATTTATATTATTCTAATACTGTAAATATAATTTATATCAATCTACTAATTGTCGATATGATTTACATTATAATACTAAATTGTTCTACTTAATTCTTAAACAAACTCATTGGTAGCAGCGGGTAACTGCTAGTTTTGAACTGAATTTATTTTTATTAATATATTTTATAAAATACATAATAAACATTTATGGAATTAATCGTCACACGTGTCACCCAAATGATTATTCACAACAATATTTAATCAATTAATGGGACTTGTGGCAAATGTGACGTTACGCCAACAAATCAATAGATAAGAAACTTGTTGGACGTTCCAAGATTTTCATTTCTTGTAAACGTTGAAAAATTTTAAAATAGTATAAACCATATTATTATTACAATGAAATGTGAAAGATGTGGAAAGTATTTACGTTTTGAATGGTGCAAATCATGTCAGATAAATAATCTACAAAATAATTTTACAAATTGGACTAGTGGAAATGAAAAAATTGACAATTTAATTCAGGAAATGCAATTAGAAATCCTTCGAAGTTCTGATAATATAACTGAATGGATACCATATGATCAGTTTAATGATATTAAAGAGTTAGATAAAGATGAATGTTCTACAATTTATTCGGCAATATGGAAGGATGGTCCATTAAAATATAACGAAAATATTCAAGAAACCAGGATACAAGAGTTAATTTAAAATGTTTACACAACCCCCGAAATATTACTGATGAATTTCTAAATGAGGTATGAATTATACTATTTAATTTAAATACTTTAAATATAGTTATTGGATGGGTAAAAATATTGGTCACTCTATAGGGGTGATTTTATATGTTACCCTCCCATTCAATAGCTGTATTATTATGCATGCCACCCAAGATCATGCCTAATTTTAGCAGTTTTTATATAAAAGCCTAGTTTTTTAATTAATTAACGTGTTATTTTTATACATAACCAATATTTTTATCCCACCCTTTTTACTGATAAAAATAACGGTCCATCAAGATCGGCATGATCCTAATAATAATAAATTTCTCTTGTTTTGATAGGCGCGTGATGATCTATATGGTATATCGCAAAATTCAGACACAAAAGATTATATTTTAGTTCTTCGAAATAAATATTGTAATGAATGTAGCAAATGTTTTATAGATGAATTTAGTTTATGGTGTAAATCATGCCAGATAAATGATTTTGAAAAAAATTTTACAAATTGGACCAGCGGAAATGAAAAAATTGATAATTCAATTCAGGAAATGCAATTAATAATTGATGATCGTGATATTATAGTTGAATGGATGCCATATGATCAGTTCGATGATATTAAAGAGTTAGGAAAAGATGAATTTGCTACAATATATTCAGCAATATGGAAGGATGGTCCATTAAAGTATGTTTTCTTATATATTCATATTTATTTCTATCAGAGTACAAAAGTCAATTTAAAATTATATAACTCACAAAATATTACCAGTGAATTTCTGAATAAGTTATGTATGCCTTTAATTTAATTTATAAATTATTTTATAATAAAATTTTATGTTTCAATAGGTTAAGCCATATTTTGAGAATGATCACCTATATGGAATATCTCAAAATCCTGATAAGGATTATATTATAATTCTTCAAGATATATATTGTGATAAATGTGTTAGCAAATATTTAGATACATATTCTAAATGGTGCATACCGTGATAATGGTGTAGTTAGCCGAAAAATTCAGCCGAAGGCGCAGTAAATTTTCGGCTAACAACACCCAGCCGAAAAAAATTCATGTTGATCTTGAATATTTTTTGAATATTTTATTGGTTCAACATCTACTATTTTCGGCTAGATATTTACGGCTAACTACATTATTATTTTAAAAAAGTGTAGTTAGCCGTAAATATCAAATGCAATACAATAATTTAAGTGGTAACAGGTAATGAAAATCCTGATTGTTCATATTATAATATTTACCATTATTATTTAATGGTAAATATTATGTAATTATTACAATAATAATAATTATATACTTTTCTTGATAATATTAATCTATGTAATACAGAATCGTTAATTATTAAATGGTATTGTTTGGTGTAAAATTGTTTCTTTAAAATGTTTAATTTTAATATTTGCTTGTAAATAATTTTTAAATTCTTGGAAAATATTTAATAAAATGGATTTAAATATAATCAAAGATAATTTTTTTTTTAATAAACTTTTTTTCTTTGTTATAAAATTTGCTAAATTTACTGAAATACTTCACTTAATTATGGATTCTATTTAAACAACTTTTAATTAAAACTAGAAAATTCCTTGCCAAATTACCAAGTTTAAGTGAAATAATGTCTTATGGACAAAAGCATAAAAAAATTCAAATTTTATCTTGTGATCTTTCATATGTAGATGTTTGTATATCTGAGGGTATAGTTATAGATGAAGGTGCATGTTTATTATTACCAGATGAATTTAATGGTTATATATATGCTGATACAACTGCTGATGGAAATTGCTTATATAATGCAGTATCCTATTTTTTTATTCACAAAAACTCTTTATCAACACAACTTCGTCTATTTACAATATTAGAGTTGATGGCATATGCTGATGAATATCTTGTCTTAGAAGTCTTTGAAAAAGATTATTTTTATTTAGATAGAGCATTTTTAAAAGCAAATAATAAGAAATATTAGCAAATAGAATATAGAAATATTTCACCATTTGTTGCTGAGATTATGGAAATGTGTCGTATAGGAGCATGGAGTCCATTAGGTGCTCTATATGGTTTAGCCTCAGTTAAATATTAGATCACGAAAATATGTAAAAAGCTCTCAGCCAAATAAAAAACAAAGGTTAAACAAAATTAAAGATGATGATCCCATTGAACAATGGAAAGAAACAAAAGTATCACTAGAGGATCAAATAATAGCAAATGGATTTGTTGAAGCATTTCAAAAGTGTAAAATTCTTTTAAAGGTATTACACAACAAATTGCTGCTGATGAAATTTGTGAATTAGCTAAATCACAAATTGGATTTGGACAATCAGCTGTTTCTAAAATTGTTAAAAGATCTGAATTATCTGCTAATGCATTGATGAGAAATGCTATTAAATTATGGATTGAGAAACAAACTGAAAGTAAGGCATTTGTGGTATGATTAAATTGAATAATAATATAATTAAAATAAATTTTGTTTGAACATTTATTATAGCTTAATAAAATATAAATGATTATAAAATTTTATATATTTTATAATTAAATAAGTTAAATATATTAAATATATATAAAATCATCACATTTTGATGTTGCCTCCTTGTCTTGCTGGTTCGCTTTGGTCTCCTGGAATATTATATATTGGCTTTTCTTGCGCCTCTGGTTGGATATTTTCGGCTAACTACACTATTATTTAAAAAAAGTGTAGTTAGACGAAAATATTCAGCCGAAAATAGTAGATGTTGAACCAATAAAACATTCAATAAAATATTCTAGATCAACATGAATTTTTTTCGGCTGGGTGTTGTTATCCGAAAATTTACTGCGCCTTCGGCTGAATTTTTCGGCTAACTACACCATTATCAAACCGTGCCAGATAAATAATCTAAAAAATAATTTTACAAATTGGACCAGTGGAAATGAAAAAATTGATAATTTAATTCAGGAAATGCAATTAGAAATTAATAACTCTAATGATATTATAGTTGAATGGATAACATATAATCAGTTCAATTATATCAAAGAATTAGGAAAAGATGAATTTTCTACAATATATTCAGCAATATTGAAGAATGGTCTATTAAAATATGATACAAATAAATATGAATATACGAGAAAACAGAATATAAAAGCCAATTGTAAATATCTACACAACTCTCAAAGTATTACCAATGAATTTCTAAATGAGGTACGTATATATTTTCACTATTAATAAATATTTAGTAAAGTGTAATAATAATAATTTTCTTATATTTTACAGGTTAAATTTTTTGATGGGAAGTATTTATACGGAATATCTCAAAATCCAGAAACAAAAGATTATATTTTAATTCTCCGAAATTTATATTGTAATAAGTGTGGTAAGAAATTTACAAAGAAAACTTATAAATGGTGTAAATCATGTCAAATTAATGATTTAGAAAAAAATTGGACCAGCGGAAATGAAAAAATTGATAATTTAGTTCAGGAAAAACAATTAAATATTAATGGGTTTAATGATATTATAGTTGAATGGATACCATATAATCAGTTTAATAATATTAAAGAGTTAGAAAAAGATGAATTTACTATGATTTATTCAGCAATATGGAATGATGATCGATTGTTTTATAATTATGTTAATTATTGTGACAACAAATATATAAGAAGAAAGAATACAAAAGTCATTCTAAAATTATATAATTCGCAAAATACTACTACCGATGAATTTCTGAATGAGGTATAAGATTTTCTTTTTAAATTAAATACTTTAATATAATAAAAAACTTCTTTATTTTATAGGTTAATAGTACTAGTAATGAACATAGAATATATGGTATATCTCAAAATCCTAATACAAGAGATTATATTATAGTTTTTCCAAATAAATATTATTGTGAAAAATGTAAAAGACTTACAGATATTTCTATTTCTATAAATGGTGCAAACCATGTCAAAAAAATGCTTTATCAAGAAAAAGTTCTATGAACTGGACCAGTAAATATGAAAGAATTAATAATTTAATTCAGGAAATGCAGTCAAAAATTAATACTTATAATGATATAGTATTTGAATGGATACCATATAATCAGTTTATCAATATTAAAGAAATAGGTGAAGGTGGATTTGCTAAAGTGTATTTAGCAATATGGAAAGATGGCCCATTACAATATAATGTAATAAATCAATCAGAATAAAAAAGTTGCATTAAAATGTTTATATAATTCCCAACATATCACAAGTGAATTTCTTAATGAGGTACAGGATTTTTCTGTAAATTTAATTTAGTTATATATTTTAATAATAAATTTCTTTTATATTTAATAGGTTAAATCATATTCAATTGATAATGGAGGAATACTTAAAATATATGGAATATCTCAAAATCCAGATACAAAGGATTACATTATAGTTCTTGAATATGCAAAGGGCGGAAATTTAAAGAATTGGATGAACAAAAATTATAGAAACCTTAACTGGTACAATAAAATATCAATGCTACTTAATATTAGTACGGGTCTTAAAGAAATTCATCAAAAAAAGATGGTTCACCATGATTTTCATACAGGAATATATTATCAAATATTGCTGGTGCAACTAATAGTAGTAGTATATTTTATATTTCAGATATGGGATAGGACCCCGAACAATACATGAAAAGGTAAAAATAGAGAGTTTGCGTAGAATGAGCCCAAAAGTATGTAGATCATTTCCTTTTTTGGATAATTCTGACCAGAATTACATAGTGCCGGCCCTGAAGAGATGCGTAGAGCTATTAGTAAATTTGTGCCGATCTCTTGTTACCTATTTATATATTGCTCGGGGTCCTTATGGGATTATGTGGAGATGTTAGTAATAATGATCATAATAATATTTATGGAGTTATGCCTTATGTAGCTCCTGAAGTATTAAAAGGGGAAATTTATACTCAAGCAGCAGATATATATAGTTTTGGCATGATTATGTATTTTGTGGCAACTGGAAGACAACCCCTTTTTCAATTGTGCACATGATGAGTTATTAGTATTAAATATCTGCAGTGGAATTAGACCTGAAATTAATGAGCCAGAAGCACCAAAATGTTACATTGACTTAATGAAACAGTGTTGGGATTCAAATCCGAATAATAGACCAAAAGCAGCTGAAATTTTTAATTTATTTATGTTCTTATATTCGGCAAGTGATTCTAATCATGCCTTGAAAGTAAATATGGGTTTGAAAAAGAACAAATACATTTTGAAATTCAAAAACAAATTGAGAAAGCAGAAAAATACAGAAGATCACATCCTACTTCTTTTGATGAAAGTACTGCTCTGGCTCATCCACACAAGCTATTTATAAATCTCGGTTACTAAATCCTTTTACAAAAAATATCCCAAAATTTGATAATATTGATAATAATACAGTAGAAATTAAGTCTTATAATTTTTTATTTTTAATAAATATTATAATTGAATTTCAGTTATCTAATCCAAAATCAATTCTTACAGATTATCAATCGAAGATGATACAAATGAATAAAATGAATCAAATTTTATTTTTAGTTTAAGTTATTATTTTATAACATTATATTAGTTAATTATTTTTATTTTATCATATATACATATCTATGTTCAACACTGATTGTAGAGTACATGTAAAATTTTTTTTTTTACATAAATAAAATCAGTTTTGTAATTGAACAGTTAACTTCAGATTTATTTACATTCCTAATATTATTAATTAGTAAACTTTTATACTTTTAGTTGTTGATCAAACTATAAATATACTAGTAAGTTTGCACTTATGATTATTCTAAATTGTGTAAATAATTTATAAAATATTATTTTAATAAAAAAATTATAGATCTCAAATTTTTATGCCTTTGTTAATGTGATACTAACTACGTGTCAGTTTCACAATCCTCTCCTGAGTTATTATCATTATATTTTCCTGTAAAAACAATATATTGTTATTTCGCATTTCATACATGCAAAATACATTATTTATAATATAATCACATGATCATAAAAAATATCAA